AGCCGTGATACAGCCATTCGAAGTTTTAGAGGTCAGAGACGCAGTGTGTCTCGTCGTCTGGCGTCTCTACCCTTCCTAAACTTCAAATGACCGTAGCTTGGCTTCCAGACGAGCTAGAAAGTTGGAAACTGAACAGGAATATGTAGAATGGCACTAGGAACAAAATGATAGTAAATTAAAACGATAAAGACGTAGTGTGTGTCTCGTCGTCTGTGTCTCTAGCCTTCGAATTTACTATCAATCAATTTGTTCCTCATGCCATTCCACACATTTCTGTCCAAGTTCCAGGTTTCTAGCTCATCTAGAATCCGATATATGGTCATTTGAAATTTTGAGAGGTTAGAGACGCAGTGTGTCTCGTCGTCTTGCGTCTCTGGCCTCCTGAAACTTCAAATTACCATATCTCGGCTCCTAGATTAGCTAGAAAGCTTGTTTTTTCACATAATCGAAAGAAATTTTGTCTATTTTATGAACATATAAATTTCCAGAAATCCCGAAAACGAACAGAACGTCTGAAATCAACGGAGCAGCTGGAAAAGGAGTACGACGCAGAGCAAGCGGCGATCACAGACGTCCCAAAACCCCCGATTCCCGGCACCCTTCCAATTCGATACATTCGAAAATCGACGGATGGAGAGGATGAGATGCTCGCGGAGCTCGACGAACCGTTTCCCTACTTGGATAGCTTGAAATCGCCGCACCGGCCACTGCCTACAGTAACCGATATTCATGCGGACGCCGTGTCGAATTTTGTGACGGTTTATAGCAATTTGTTTAGGTGAGAAATCGGTGAAAAATGAGGGATAGGGCGTTTGAGAACCGCGACACTTTAGAACTGCAACGTTTCAGAACCGCGACGTTTTAGAACTGCGACGTTCGAAATGTCCAGATCTGGAACATCCGTTTCTGAAACTGATCATTTTTTGCCATTTCACAAGCGAACGTTTTAGAACCACGACATTTTAGAACCGCGACATTTTAGAACCGCGACGTTTTAAAACCACGACATTTTAGAAACTGTTGGGATGGGGTTTGTTGCGAAATGTCTGGTTAGGTAATGTCCCGGTTGCGAACTAGTCAGTTTTGAAATGACCAGTTCTGAAACGTCCCGGTTGCGAAATGACCGGTTCTGAAACGGATTACTGTTCGACCATTTAGAAACTGAAAGTTTGAGAACCGTGTCATTTTGGAACCGCGACGTTAAAGAACCGCGACGTTTCCAACCCTCCCAGTTGCGCAACGATCGGTTCCAGAACGTCACGGTTCCAAAATGTCCGGTTGCGAAACGACCGGTTCTTAAACGTCCCGGTTTTGAAATGGCTCGTTTTGAAGCGGATCAGTGTCATACCATTTCGCAATTAGGACGTTTCAGAACCGGTCAGTTGCGAAATGACCGGTTGCAGAACGTCGCGGTTCTAAAACTTCGTGTTCTAACATGCCGCTGTTCTGAAACGGATCCTTTTCTGATTATTTGGCAACCGGACGTTCTAGAACTATGACATGCTAGAACTGCGACATTTCAGAACCACGACATTTTAGAACCGCGACATTTTAGAACCGCGACGTTTTAAAACCACGACATTTTAGAAACTGTTGGGATGGGGTTTGTTGCGAAATGTTTGGTTAGGTAATGTCCCGGTTGCGAACTAGTCAGTTTTGAAATGACCAGTTCTGAAACGTCCCGGTTGCGAAATGACCGGTTCTGAAACGGATTACTGTTCGACCATTTAGAAACTGGAAGTTTGAGAACTGTGTCATTTTGGAACCGCGACGTTTCCAACCCGCCCAGTTGCGCAACGATCGGTTCCAGAACGTCACGGTTCCAAAATGTCCGGTTGCGAAACGACCGGTTCTTAAACGTCCCGGTTGTGAAATGGCTCGTTTTGAAGCGGATCAGTGTCATACCATTTCGCAATTAGGACGTTTCAGAACCGGTCAGTTGCGAAATGACCGGTTGCAGAACGTCGCGGTTCTAAAACTTCGTGTTCTAACATGCCGCTGTTCTGAAACGGATCCTTTTCTAATTATTTGGCAACCGGACGTTCTAGAACTATGACATGCTAGAATTGTGACGTTTCAGAACCGTGACGTTTCAAAACTGCGACTTTTTAGAACTGCGACGTTTCAGAACCGCGACGTTTTAGAACCATGTAGTTGCAAAGTGACCGGTTCTAAGACGTCTCGGTTGCGAAATGGCTCGAAATGTCGGATTCTAAAACATATCGTTGTCAGTTCAACTGGACGTTCTAGAACCGTTCAGTTGCGAAATGACCAACGACCAGTTCTAAAACGTCGCAGTTCTAAAATGTCTATTTTTTTCAGCATGACCAACTTGATCTACCATGCCCAACGTCGCTACTTCCCACTCCCACACTTTGTTCTCGGAGTCGAGTCGACGGATCGGCCACGTTGCAATGGTCTGCAGGTACAGTAATCCATTCAAGCCCGGAGCTACAGTAATCCTTTTTTATATTCGGCCCAAAAATGGCTCTGGCGGTCGAAAAAAAACAATCCAAATTGGACCATTTTTATGGATTTGGGGATCATCTTTAGTCCTATTTTTTGACCTACAGTAATCCTTCTTGGTTTCAAAAAGGTCCAAATGGCCCTACAGTAATCCATTTCGGCTCCAAAAACCGTCATTTTCCAGCTCAACGCTCTCCACTGCCAGCTCTCCGAAGTGTCCGATCTCACTTGGATCCTGGATCAAACTGAGCAATCGATCGTCTTCGCCGACCTGTGCAAAACGATTCCAGACGCCGAGAAACCGCCACCGTCACGTCTTCGGGTCTACGTCAAAGCCCTCACGGCGCGAATGATCGCCATGATCTTCGTGCCGGTCTCCGAATCGTTCGATCGTCAATCCGAAGTGATTCCGATGTTCATTGCCACGTGTCACGAGACACAGATTGCTCATTGCTATGCGTTGAATGGGTTTGATGAGTGGGGCGTGGTCAATCTGCCGATGTCGGACGTGCCGGAGCGGTGGGATTCTGGAGCCAGGTTTGGATGGACCCCGAACAATCGGAATGTGTTTCCGGATGAGGCGACGACGTTCAAGGTGAGCAATTCGGTAGCTAGCTTGAGCTAGCTTAAGACAGTCTGAGCTAGCTCATGCTAACTTAAGACTAACTCAGTTAGCATAATCAACCATGCCGTTTCAGAACGATGCAAAATGACCAATTCTAAAACTTCCCGGTTGCGAAATGGCTTGAAAAATGATATTTTTCAAAACCGGGACGTTTTAAAACCGGCGATTTCGCAACTATACCTATTTCCCAACACCCCTCCTTCTAAAACATCCCGGTTGCGAAATGGATTGAACCGGACATTTCGCAACCTGAACGTTCTAAAACCGGTCATTTCGCAACTGACCATTTCGGAACCACAGGTTTCAGAACGATTGCTGAATGACTGGATCTATAACATCCAGTTGCGAAATGACCTGAAAACAGAAATTTCGCAACCACGACATTCTAGAACCAGACATTTCGCAACTCTGTTATTTTAGAACCGGACGTTTCGCAACTGACCATTTCGGAACCACAGGTTTTAAAACGATTGTCTTCCGGAAATCTGCCATTTCAGAATGGTTTAAAATCACCCGTTCTAAAAGGTCCCGGTTGCGAAATGGCCTCAAAAGGATACAGTTCAGAACCGGACGTTTCGCAACCGGGACGTTCTAAAACCGGCAATTTCGCAACCATGACGTTTTGGAAAATGACCGGTTCAAAACGTCCCGGTTGCGAAATGGTCTGCAAATAAGGTCTTTTGTAAGCCGGCCATTTCGCAACCGTGACATTATAGAACAGACCATTTTGGAACCACACGTTTTATCGCTGAAAGACTGGATCTATAACATCCAGTTGCGAAATGACCTGAAAACAGACATTTCGCAACCGTGACGTTATAGAACCAGGCATTTTGCAACTGACCCCATTTCGCAACTCTGCCATTTTAGAACGGTGTGAAATCACCAGTTCTAAGACGTGTAGTTGCATAATAGCCTCAAAATGATCCAGCTCAGAACCTGACGTTTCGCAACCGGGACGTTCTAAAACTGACTGTTTCATAACTGGACGTTTTGGAAAATAACCGGTTCTAAAACGTCCCGGTTGCGAAATGGTCTGCAAATAAGGTATTTTGTAAGCCGGCCATTTCGCAACCGTGACGTCCTAGAACCGGCCACTTCGCAATTGATCCATTTTTCACGAAATTATCGGTTCTAAAAAGTCTCTTTCCGAAGCGCCCAGTTCTAGAACGTCCAGATTTCGATTGCCCAGACATTTCGCAACCATGACGTTCTGAAACCGGACACTTCGCAACCCTGATTCTTTCAGTCCTTCTGCGACCATTTCGACAACGAACTCCTCCCCCGCATCCGAATGCGTGCAATGTACGAAGCCGCCCAAGAGGATATTCCTCTGAACGAGGACCGCCTCATGGACCTGTCCCAAGACGTTGACTTCATCGAAGTCGAAGTTTCAGCAATCCCGCTGGCTCTGAAACGTGTCTGCCGTCATCTGGACCTTCCCGACGAGCCGAAAATCGATAAATCGAGCCGGAAAATTCCAGAAATTGTCGTTGGCAACTTGACGAAGCCAGGAGAAGGTCTCACAGAAGGAAAAGTGGAGAAATCGATTAGTTTCGCGCCGGAAATCACCAATTTGGAACCGGAAAATCTATCAGAACCGGCTGAAAATGTTCCAGAACCTTCTATTTTGGCTGAAAATGGTCTGGAAAAGTCTGAAAACCCACCGGAAATTTGCTGTAAAGGATCCAACATTGCGTATATGTTTGATAAGATGCTGTCGAAGAATTTCAAAAAAGTGAACGGAACACAGAACGTCTTCTATTTGAGACCAGAATCCCTTCTGCCCAAAGACAAAGAGAATCAGAAGACGTCGAATAGGAAGAAGACGCCCACGACGACGACACGACGAAAACGATATCCAACGCGTGGATCGAGTGGAATGATGTACGTCGACGCCGCAGAATCGATGGCCTCGTTTTCGGAACTGGGAGATTTTTCAGAAGAGGTAAGAGAGGTGGAAATGGCTCAAAAATGAGCTGAAAATGACCTATAATTGAGAAAGGACAAATTTTTAGTTAGAATAGTCCGAAATAGCTGAAACGGACCAACGACGGACCACCGGCTGATCATAATCTGAAAATCCAATTCAAATTGTGTAATTCTGCCCAAAAACCAGAATTCTAGCTCATCTAGAAGTCGAGATATGGCCATTTGAAGATTGAGGAGGCT